AGCCATTTGCCAGGGTACGCAAGGTGTTGCCCTGTCAGCTGGCCAGCACGCATGCTGGCAAGCTGAGTTCAGCCTTTTTTAAAGCCATTTTTCGCCCTCCCCAGGCTCCAGAGGGTTTATAGGAGCCTGGGGAGGGTGAAAACTGCCTCCCCCTCCCAGAGGCCCTCCAGAGGCTTTAGGAGCTTCCCTGAAGCCTCGGGAGGGGAAAAAACGACCCTACGAGCAAAAAGGAAATCACTTCCAGTTTGCTCGTAGGACTGTTTTTAGTCCTCTGGAGCCTTCAGGGACCTTCAGGAGGCTTCCCTAAAGGCTCCGGAGGAAAAAAAAATAACCCTACGAGCAAATGGTAAGTCTCTTCCGGTTTGCTCGTAGGGCCGATTTTAGTCCTCCGGAGCCTTCAAGGAAGCCTCCTGAAAGTCCCTGGAGGCTCCGGAAGATTAAAAACGCTCCTACGAGCAAACTGGAAGTGACTTCCGGTTTGCTCGTAGGGCCGTTTTTTGCCCTCCGGAGGTTTCAGGGAAGCTCCTGAAGCCTCCGGAGGGCCTCCAGGTTGGTGGGGGCGGCTGTTTTCGCCCTCCCCAGGCTCCTATAAAGCCTCTGGAGCCAGGGGAGGGCGAAAAAAGCATGAAAAAAATTGGGGGGTGTGCGTCACGCCTGTCATGCGTGTGTGCATGCTGGGGGGGGGTCATGCATTGCATTATAGGTGCAGCACACCGGTGCACGACCCCCCCCACGTTCCCCCCGCTTATGGCACGCGAGCCAAACAAGGTTCGCCATCGCTGGCATAGATGAAGAGAGAATGGCAGGCAGGAAAGCTGAAGCACTCCTGCAATCATAAAGGCAAGCTGTCAAACTCTGAAATTTTGATCATGTGACTATGGGGTGCTATACAACCATAACTTAAGAGAGCAGTGTTAAGTCCCTTTGTTCAGCGTGGGTGTAACTTTGAATGTTGCTGAATGAATGGTTAAGTCAAGGACCAACTGTATCACTGAATCATTGCATGAGCAGCTATAATAGCCTTGTCTTGTACAGTACCATACACTTTAGAAGCACAAGAGATTAAGAAATGTAAGAGGAAATACCGCAACTCTACTTTTTTTCAAGCGTGGGAGAGGTAGATTTATCACCAACAATATATTCATTCTCCATTTATCAAGCTGCACAACAGTACTAGGCCACAATTGACACTGGCAGTAATAGAATAAAAGTACAAATATATATTTAAAGTAGCTTCTACAAGTCATCAAGAATCAGGATATGTGACCATTAAAGTTTCAAAAATTCAATAATGTAATGATAGAAAACAATCAAGGAATTCTAGCAGTTTTGATGGTTTACATTTGATTTTGGGCTTAACCCCTACAAATAAGACTTTGGATCCCCAAAGTTGAATGTTGTGTCTCCAGAATCTAAAATACGTCTTTTCAGAAGCTACAATATGAATCAATAAATGAAAATGAAATAACAGTTGCTTAAAAAAAAAATCACCTTCAACAATACAAAAAATAAATGGGAAGTATGAAAATACAAAAGAAAACTTGAAAATTGATTCTTAAATCTGCAGTATATTCGTTCTCTACACTATTTTATACAATAACAAGATGTGAAATATCTTTGAAAATGGAGTACCCTTGAAAGTGCCAGTTTTATTGTTCTGAATTCATGTACTTGAATCTATCAAGTCATCTCCGTTCATACGTTTATACTAACAGCAATTTATAACTATTTATCAAAATAATAATAGGTGGCAGGACAACAGCATACTTCAGTACAGTATGAATCTTGAGTATAAAAAGCTTGTCTGTAGCTCTTTATACTACGTTCATAAGAAATGAACAGAGCACCTTGTACTACTTATTCTTTAAAGAACAGCATACAGCTCTGAAAACCTGTGCGTTAAAGGTATAATTAAGTACTGTTTCACATGAACTAAAAAAAGGCACCTTAAAAGATAGAAGCATACTCTAAAACATAGCAGAAATAAGCTTTCAAAGTATTACTAGTATAGGAGTGCTCAGAAAATGGAAAATGTATTGTTCATGTATGAAATAAACACACTGTTGCTCAGGAATCTAGTCAAACAGTTCTGGGAAGATTGTGATTTGCCTTAAACAAACACACAGAGCCTCCTAGTTGTTTTAGGTAATGACCAAAATAAAATTCAGAGGGATGTTACAAGGCAAATTGTCTGTGTGCCAGTTCACATGCCAATCTTCCCAGAGTCTTCCTTCCACGAGTTTCTCTCAAGAGACACATCGCCTAACAACAAATGTTCCATGCACCAAACTTTTTGTGCAAAATTTCACATATCCCCACATGGTAGCACATAACCCAACTTAACAGAAGTAACCAAACATCTTGTTTCAAAAGGTTGCTTCTTTAATACCAAAACAATATACTTTGGAGAGGATTCTTTTAACAGAAATATATTCAAGAGTTTACAAGTTAATGGGATCACAACAAGGGTCCTTACATGTCCCAAAGGTGCTTTTTCAAGAGGCAAGTTCAGTTGCCACTTTTGGGACAACCATGACCTGAATGACTGAGAATCTTCCATAGACAAGGGTCCTAAATATTTTAAAGAACTATTATCAACAAAGCTTTCCCCAATTAACAGTGTTAAAGTTAACATTGCAACCTAGCAAACTTTACAGCTCATTCAAAGTCATGGCATTATACAGATTTGTCACGTTTTCTCAGCAAGCCTATGTTTTGTGTAACTATTATTTCCCTTTTAAAGAATAATAATATAGTAGAGGCCTTATTAATGTTACATAATTTGTTATGCAGAGAAACATTCACATCCTTAAATAACAAGGATCATACTTCATAGCATAACTTGGTATCAGATGTCCTTGACTATTAAACTTAAAAATTCAGAACTTTGACGTGGTACTAATTTGCACACAGGATTTTCAAGGGCATAATTTTTTTTTTCTGAAATGGAAATACACCTGCAAAAGGCAACAGCAGAATCAGCTGAGGATCAGACTGCAAACATAATACCTGCTCAGAGTTCAGATAGCCAAGTGTAAATAGGTGATCCGTCCCTAAAGACTCAGGGACAAACACATTAGGGCATTTTAATTGGCTGCAATTCTCTGATGCCTGTTTACAGAACCCTAAGTATAAAGCTGATATATATTGTTTATGCCTGGCATGTTAACCATGGACTGGTACCATCACAGCATATGTTAAAAAGGTAAAGCACTTTTTATACAACCATGTCTCAAATTAAACCCAATAGATCTTATGTCACAGACATCAACTTTATTCAAATATTTAAACATATAACAATCAGGTGCAACTGGTTTCAGATCACTACAAAAGCAGAACTACTTCTATCATTCAACAGTGTTCTATGGCAACTAAGCCAAACTTTCCTTACTGCTTTCTTCTGATAGTTGCCCAGAGCAATCATTTCAATGTCCCTTAAGGCACGTATGTGGCTCTCTAGATTAGCTTGCCGCTATAACAACTTTCCTATGCGTACTCTACTAAAGGTGTCTTTGGCTATCTGTGCTACTACCAAGACTGAAAAGTACTCGCCAGGAAAAAAAACACATCTTCCTATTTCAAAAGGGAAAACTACATGGTCTGGTTTGAAACACAAAAGTATGAAGTTCCTAGCACTGTATTTTGTCTTTTTATGTTCCCCTTTTTCCCCCCCCCCCCGCCGTCGACCGCTCGTATCGTAGTATTATATCCTGATGGTAACGGGTTCAGGCCAGAGAGAGGGTGGAAGAGAGAGAGCCCCCCTCACCGCAGTATACTTGGTGAGGTTGAGACCGCTTTAAACTCGGGCTTGAGGAAGAAGATGTGTCGTTTTAAAAAAGGCCAATCGCCCAACTTTTTTAGGGGGGAGGATTTTGTTTTCCCTCCCCGTTTTATCGACATTCTGATTTCGCTTTATTTGGCTTCATGGGGG